AATTTCAAATTTTTTTTTGTCGAGATTTTGGGTCCTACTGGTACCTCGTGATACCCTGAACTCCATACACAAAATTATTCTCAGATTTGAAGCCGAAATCTATGGAAAAAGGCACTCAGAGAAATTGAAAAATTGATAAATCACCCCAATTGCTTAACACGATTTTATCTCAGGAATTATAAGTGCAAATGAGCTGAAATTTTCAGGGATTATAGTCCTTTGGAAGGGATAAAATTCAGTGAAAGATTCAGCTTTCTATCTATAATAGAAAAAAAGTTACGACGTATCAAAGTTTTCCAAAAAATCATAAGGGGGGTACCTTCTTACTAAAATGATGAAATTTCAAATTTTTTTTTGTCGAGATTTTGGGTCCTACTGGTCCCTCGTGATACCCTGAACTCCATACACAAAATTATTCTCAGATTTGAAGCCGAAATCTATGGAAAAAGGCACTCAGAAAAATTGAAAAATTGATAAATCACCCCAATTGCTTAACACGATTTTATCTCAGGAATTATAAGTGCAAATGAGCTGAAATTTTCAGGGATTATAGTCCTTTGGAAGGGATAAAATTCAGTGAAAGATTCAGCTTTCTATCTATAATAGAAAAAAAGTTACGACGTATCAAAGTTTTCCAAAAAATCATAAGGGGGGTACCTTCTTACTAAAATGATGAAATTTCAAATTTTTTTTTGTCGAGATTTTGGGTCCTACTGGTACCTCGTGATACCCTGAACTCCATACACAAAATTATTCTCAGATTTGAAGCCGAAATCTATGGAAAAAGGCACTCAGAAAAATTGAAAAATTGATAAATCACCCCAATTGCTTAACACGATTTTATCTCAAAAATTATAAGTGCAAATGAGCTGAAATTTTCAGGGATTATAGTCCTTTGGAAGGGATAAAATTCAGTGAAAGATTCAGCTTTCTATCTATAATAGAAAAAAAGTTACGACCTTTGAAAGTTTCCCGAAAAAATCATAAGGGGGGTACCTTCTTACTAAAATGATGAAATTTCAAATTTTTTTTTGTCGAGATTTTGGGTCCTACTGGTACCTCGTGATACCCTGAACTCCATACACAAAATTATTCTCAGATTTGAAGCCGAAATCTATGGAAAAAGGCACTCAGAGAAATTGAAAAATTGATAAATCACCCCAATTGCTTAACACGATTTTATCTCAGGAATTATAAGTGCAAATGAGCTGAAATTTTCAGGGATTATAGTCCTTTGGAAGGGATAAAATTCAGTGAAAGATTCAGCTTTCTATCTATAATAGAAAAAAAGTTACGACGTATCAAAGTTTTCCAAAAAATCATAAGGGGGGGTACCTTCTTACTAAAATGATGAAATTTCAAATTTTTTTTTGTCGAGATTTTGGGTCCTACTGGTCCCTCGTGATACCCTGAACTCCATACACAAAATTATTCTCAGATTTGAAGCCGAAATCTATGGAAAAAGGCACTCAGAAAAATTGAAAAATTGATAAATCACCCCAATTGCTTAACACGATTTTATCTCAGGAATTATAAGTGCAAATGAGCTGAAATTTTCAGGGATTATAGTCCTTTGGAAGGGATAAAATTCAGTGAAAGATTCAGCTTTCTATCTATAATAGAAAAAAAGTTACGACCTTTGAAAGTTTCCCGAAAAAATCATAAGGGGGGTACCTTCTTACTAAAATGATGAAATTTCAAATTTTTTTTTTGTCGAGATTTTGGGTCCTACTGGTACCTCGTGATACCCTGAACTCCATACACAAAATTATTCTCAGATTTGAAGCCGAAATCTATGGAAAAAGGCACTCAGAGAAATTGAAAAATTGATAAATCACCCCAATTGCTTAACACGATTTTATCTCAGGAATTATAAGTGCAAATGAGCTGAAATTTTCAGGGATTATAGTCCTTTGGAAGGGATAAAATTCAGTGAAAGATTCAGCTTTCTATCTATAATAGAAAAAAAGTTACGACCTTTGAAAGTTTCCCGAAAAAATCATAAGGGGGGTACCTTCTTACTAAAATGATGAAATTTCAAATTTTTTTTTGTCGAGATTTTGGGTCCTACTGGTACCTCGTGATACCCTGAACTCCATACACAAAATTATTCTCAGATTTGAAGCCGAAATCTATGGAAAAAGGCACTCAGAGAAATTGAAAAATTGATAAATCACCCCAATTGCTTAACACGATTTTATCTCAGGAATTATAAGTGCAAATGAGCTGAAATTTTCAGGGATTATAGTCCTTTGGAAGGGATAAAATTCAGTGAAAGATTCAGCTTTCTATCTATAATAGAAAAAAAGTTACGACCTTTGAAAGTTTCCCGAAAAAATCATAAGGGGGGTACCTTCTTACTAAAATGATGAAATTTCAAATTTTTTTTTTTGTCGAGATTTTGGGTCCTACTGGTACCTCGTGATACCCTGAACTCCATACACAAAATTATTCTCAGATTTGAAGCCGAAATCTATGGAAAAAGGCACTCAGAGAAATTGAAAAATTGATAAATCACCCCAATTGCTTAACACGATTTTATCTCAGGAATTATAAGTGCAAATGAGCTGAAATTTTCAGGGATTATAGTCCTTTGGAAGGGATAAAATTCAGTGAAAGATTCAGCTTTCTATCTATAATAGAAAAAAAGTTACGACGTATCAAAGTTTTCCAAAAAATCATAAGGGGGGTACCTTCTTACTAAAATGATGAAATTTCAAATTTTTTTTTTGTCGAGATTTTGGGTCCTACTGGTACCTCGTGATACCCTGAACTCCATACACAAAATTATCCTCAGATTTGAAGCCGAAATCTATGGAAAAAGGCACTCAGAAAAATTGAAAAATTGATAAATCACCCCAATTGCTTAACACGATTTTATCTCAGGAATTATAAGTGCAAATGAGCTGAAATTTTCAGGGATTGTAGTCCTTTGGAAGGGATAAAATTCAGTGAAAGATTCAGCTTTCTATCTATAATAGAAAAAAAGTTACGACCTTTCAAAGTTTTCCAAAAAATCATAAGGGGGGCACCTTCTTACTAAAATGATGAAATTTCAATTTTTTTTTTGTCGAGATTTTGGGTCTTACTGGTCCCTCCTGATACCCTGAACTCCATACACAAAATTATTCTCAGATTTGAAGCCGAAATCTATGGAAAAAGGCACTCAGAAAAATTGAAAAATTGATAAATCACCCCAATTACTTAACACGATTTTATCTCAGGAATTATAAGTGCAAATGAGCTGAAATTTTCAGGGATTATAGTCCTTTGGAAAGGATAAAATTCAGTGAAAGATTCAGCTTTGTATCTATAATAGAAAAAAAGTTACGACGTATCAAAGTTTTCCAAAAAATCAGAAGGGGGGTACCTTCTTACTAAAATGATGAAATTTCAAATTTTTTTTTGTCGAGATTTTGGGTCCTACTGGTACCTCGTGATACCCTGAACTCCATACACAAAATTATCCTCAGATTTGAAGCCGAAATCTATGGAAAAAGGCACTCAGAAAAATTGAAAAATTGATAAATCACCCCAATTGCTTAACACGATTTTATCTCAGGAATTATAAGTGCAAATGAGCTGAAATTTTCAGGGATTGTAGTCCTTTGAAAGGGATAAAATTCAGTGAAAGATTAGTAATTTTAAAGAAAAAAAAATTATATGTAATAAACAAACATAGAGGACCTATTAGCACATTTGTCTTGTTTATAGAGAGAGAAAAAATCGTCCAGTCAAGGCCCTCCACAAAAATTTGACATGTTTAATACTTGCTATTAGATATTAAGTTACATAAAAAACGAAGACTTTAACAAATCAACCATATGCCAACATGCTTTTGACAATAACCATCAAATTAACTGGAATGCTTCTAGCATTCTGGCAAAGGAACCCTTTTCAAAAACACTTAAAATTAAAGAGAGCGCATCAATTTTATTAAATAAAGTGTTGCTTCATGCTAAACATCATTTGGTAATATGTGGCTTCCTTATTTGTTTGAATCAGAAATAAACCAAAGTAAAGTAAGATCAAAAGTCCGACATGACATTCACAGATTAACCCCTCCTAAAGATAGGAAACAAGGTAATAATATTGAGGTTGAATGTACCAATTGAAAGAGGATGTCAAAACCAACAGAATGGTGCAAGATTTGATGTATTAACTACAACAGTTCAATGTCTTTTTGAGTCCATTGAATATATTAATCTAAAATATTAGGAGTTGTTTGGCAACATTGCTTTAAAGGGATACAGAGATAATGTGTTGAGGATAGATTTGTAGGCCCTAGGGGCGAATTTTACCTACACAATAGATTGTTGCGCCTCTTCCAGTGGAAAATTATTGGCTTGTCATATTATCAATCGATCGGGCCAGAAACTGGTATGGTTTTATGAAGAATAGAGCCAAGTTTAAGTATAATGCACAGAGATAAAATTAGCATTTCACCTCTATAGTAAAACTAATTAAAAATAAACTACCAGCCGTTGGAAATTCTCTCTCCGTGCTTTTATTGTGAAAAACAATTAAATTCTTGCAGCTCCCTAATGAAAATTTATCGCCTCCTCAGCCTCAGACTACAATAAAATCCAATTTCCGTATATCGATCCGGGAAAAGTGCGGTTGTTTTAGGAAGCGACACCCCTCCCTCGTTTGAAGCTAAGGTCAACAGGTGTGTGCATAAAAAATGGTTTTTCTTTTTACTCCAGATTATTTAATTGATGAGAAACGTGCCTAGAAAACGTGCAGATTGAGTTGTGGGTGCAACTTGATTGAGTTTATCCTCCTACAATGTAAACTGATATTGGATAAAATAGCTATAGAATATTGAAGCTTAAACTGTCTGAAATTCAAAAAAAAAAAACAGGCCCTATACAAAGTTTCAAAGGAATTAGCAAGTCCAGACAGTATAGATTGGAGAAACGAAGGAGCCAGTAACAGCTGGTGTAAGGATTATGAGGATTATTGTATCGGCAAGCTCTTAAAATGAAACAGTTTCACGATGGTATATAATGGTCATTTTATTTATTTATTATTATCAACATCAAAATTGTCCACACGAAAAACTAACAATTAAGTCTACTATGAGGGATGAGAATAAAGAGAATCTTGATAAATAATATAAAATAGCTTAAAACTTAAATAGTTCTTACTAATTACAGCCATATGAGTGTGTTTCAAATGATTTTAATTACTAGAATAACTTAGATGAGCATTATTTTCAAGTGCAACATCAGTAAAGCACAGAAATATATATGTACACTTTAAGCCTATTGGTGGTGCAAATAGATGATAAAACTCTTAATAAGTACTTAAACAAAAATATAAAAAAAATATACAATAATATAAACAGCATGTACAAAAAATAATACTCAAATATAAAGTAGCTACCTTTTGGAGATATGTGTGTGCCAATAATATATGAAAATATACAAAGTGTATGTTCGCAATTTGATTTATTTTGTCCTTGAATGTAAATATTAACAAATAAAAACGCACACACGCACAAAATTCGAGTTGCCCTTTGTTTAGCAATAGTAACGCGTCTTTGAGCCCTTTTTAGGCTTCTGGCGTCGCTGTCATACGTACTCTAGCGGCGTCTTTTTGCCCTTGCACTTCTTTTCCAATAGTCTCTCAAACAATTTACGAATTTCTGAGAATATCCACACTGTTGAAGATAGACCAACCAAAAATAGCATATCTAAAAAAAAAAGCTAGAAGTTTTAATAGAAATGATGGATGCTAGTTACCCATAGCAGTTAGAGCTTCAGTTTGGAAAACACCTTGTAAGGGTGGCAAGTAGACTACCAGCAGTTGGCCCAAGACACAAGCACCCACTGCAACCAGGAAAAACGTGTTGGAAAAAAGCCCTATTTGGAAAACACTTTTCGTTTGCGATCTGTAACTAAGCGCATTCCACATGTCAAAGAATACGAAACAGGTGAAGGTCATTGTGGTGTCCCTTGCTGTTACTCCATCTTCAGTCATCTATACAAATAAATGTGATATTTCTTTGTCTGACATGGTCATATTATTACTAACCTCTTTTCTAAAAACCCATAGAGTGCCTGCAACAATAAAAGTGGCAGACAACAACACATTGGCTATAAGCTTTTTGGTAATCATCGGTTCCTTGGTGTTTCTGGATTTTTGATTAACAATGTCGTCAGTTACAGGTTCAACTCCTAAGCTTTGTGCAGGAGGACCATCCATTAAAATATTAATCCATAGAATCTTTTCAAAAAAAAAAAACACACACAATTGATTTAACCTATAGATTTTAATGGGACAAACATCTTACTTGCATAGCATTTAAAGGATTGGGAATGTCCATTATGGTGGCCAGAGCCACCAAAGCCAAAGCCGCTATCGATGTAGAAAGTTGAAATCCCACAAAATTCCTTATATTGTGAAAGATGCTTTTGCCTTCTTCAATTGCTGCACTAAATTTTTCATATTTTTGTTTTAATCTAAATACAGACAATAACCTACTTACATTATAGTATAAAAATCATCATCTACAAGAATCATATCGGCTGCCTCTTTGCACACATCTGTACCATTTTTGCCCATCGCTATACCAATGTCGGCCTTTTTCAAGGCCACCCCATCGTTGACGCCGTCGCCAGTCATACCAACAATGTAACCCGACCTTAAACATTTTTAAAATAAAGTCGTAAGTTGGAATTTCTTCCTGACGTTTCGCTAGCATTTTCAGGGGTGCTTCCATGTCCGATTCTGGTAGCAGACTAACGCGTTCCCAGTGTTGCCAGGTCATATTTTGTTTTGTCAGTAGACAGATAAGTTGCCTTGTTAAAGGGGTAAACCATTAAGGTATACTCAATTAATTATTTTTAATACGTTTAAGACTGTGTATTAGAGTATGAAAACTTGCATTAGAAAATCAAACACCAATACTACGTATGAGAAATAGTTTATAAAGATTAAGACATATGAGATATTCCTATTAAATATGCACTACCTATATGGGATGCCCTATATTTGGTTCTATATTTTTGAAAAGTACAATTTCCCGATTTCAAAACTATATACTTTGTCTATATTTAGTTGAGCTGGCTCTAACATATTTGGTTCCAAAAAATTTAAAAATACTATCAGAGAAACTAAGTAGGTACCTCAAATTCTACTACAGCTTTCATCTGTACAGGTAGAATGGTTCACAAAATCACCAGTAGGATAGTATTTTTACAATTTTTGGAGCCGAATATATGAGAAACTGTTCAATCAAATATAAACAAACTATATATTTCTGGTATCGGGGCATTGTACTCTTCAAGAATATAAAATAAAATATAGGGCACCCCATTTGAAAAAAGCTGGAAGCATGCAAAATTTTACATTTCTGACATTCAAATTTTGTTTCTGACCATGTTTTCTAAAAATTGTACAACTTTTGTATTTACACCTTTTTTCTACCTGTAAAGGTAAAGGAGGTAGGTGAAGTGTCAATATATAACAAAAAAAACACCCTGTACAAATAAGTGGATTATTGCAGAACTTATGGGTGAACCTCTGCGGGGCGAGCGCAGCGAGTTCCGCAGCCATCTACTCACCAATATACTGTTCAAAAAAAACACTCACCTGAAACGTGTAGTTTTTGAACTAATGAGGAAAATTTATAACTGAATGAATCAGGTTAGTATTGTACTTGAACAATATATTGGTGAATAGATGGCTGGGTCCACCCATAAGTTCCAAAATAATCCACTCGTTTGTACTTGAATAACTTGTTACAATATATTACTTATTCCTGTTGAAAAGCGAATTGACAAAAAGTGAATAATCTTACAAATTCTGACATTATATAATAAGTTATTTTTCAAGTAGAAATAAGTGGATTGTTGCGGAACTTATGGGTGGACCTCTACCATCTACTTATCAATATACTGTTGAATTGTTCAAATAAGACATACACCTGAAACATGTAGTTTTTAAACTAATGAGAATATCTCACATTTGAGTGAGTCAGATTAGTATCGTAATTAAACAACATATTGATGAACAGATGGCTGCGGAACTCGCTGCGCTCGTCCCGCAGAGGTCCACCCATAATTCCGCAACAATTCACTCATTTGTACTTGAATAACTTGTCACATTATGTTACTAGTTTGGTAAAGTGACATTACTAATTCCTGTTGAAAGGCAAATTGACAAAAAGTGAATAATCATAATCTTACAAATTTTGACTTTATATAATAAGTTATTGTTCAAGTATAAATAAGTGGATTATTGCGGAACTTATGGGTGGACGAGCGCAGCGAGTTCCGCAGCCATCTACTTATCAATATACTGTTGAATTGTTCAAATAAGACATTCACCTGAAACATGTAGTTTTTAAACTAATGAGAATAACTCACATTTGAGTGAGTCAGATTAGTATCGTAATTAAACAACATATTGATGAACAGATGGCTGCGGAACTCGCTGCGCTCGTCCCGCAGAGGTCCACCTATAAGTTCCTTATTTATACTTGAATAATAACTTATTATATAAAGTCAAAATTTGTAAGATTATGATTATTCACTTTTTGTCAATTTGCCTTTCAACAGGAATCAGTAATGTTACTTTACCAAACTAGTAACATAATGTGACAAGTTATTCAAGTACAAATGAGTGAATTGTTGCGGAATTATGGGTGGACCTCTGCGGGACGAGCGCAGCGAGTTCCGCAGCCATCTGTTCATCAATATGTTGTTTAATTACGATACTAATCTGACTCACTCAAATGTGAGTTATTCTCATTAGTTTAAAAACTACATGTTTCAGGTGAATGTCTTATTTGAACAATTCAATAGTATATTGATAAGTAGATGGCTGGTCCACCCATAAGTTCCGCAACAATCCACTTCCGCAGCCATCTATTCACCAATATATTGTTGAACTGTTCAAGTAAGACACTCACCTGAAACTTGTAGTTTTTGAACTAATGAGAATAACTGACATTTGAGTGATTCAGGTTAGTATCGTACTTGAACAACGTATTAATAGACACTTTAAGCAGGTCCTGAATTTCAAACGTATCCGTATCCGCATGCGCAGAATAGATACGGTGGTTTCGTTGCGTTGCGTTGTCCGTATCGTTACGTATCTGTATCCGGAAACAAATCTCAATTATTTGACACTTTTAAGAGATCTCCTTGTTAAGCCCATTTTACAATGGACGTAACGTATAACCGTAAAGACGTAACATAAGTCTTGAGAAACACTCGTTTTTGTGTAGGAATAAAGTCATTTGTGTAATAGTTTTTGCTCAGGACAAGAGTGTGTTGAATTTCTTATGTAGCAACACGAAATAAAAAGTGTAGCAACACAATCGTTGGGAGTAGTTTTTAGTAGGTTTAGAGTAAGATTTCAATGAACCTATGCAGCAACATTTTTAAAAAGAAAAAGTGTAGCAACATGAGCGTAAGTGTAGCAAGAAGTCGTTTTGGGGGTAGTTCCTTTTATTGGGTTTTTATGGTGAGATTTTGTAGCAACATGTAGCAACACTTGTTATATGAAAATGTATTGAATTCGTTTATTGTAGCAACATTTGGTAAAAAATTTAGTTTCTCGTCGGGTTTGGAATTCGAATTTTACATTTTCCCGGCTTTTGATTGGTTTGGAAATTTAAATATTTATCATTCCCGGCTTTTGATTGGCTTATTTTTAAATTTTCCATGCTTTTGATTGGTTTAGGAATTCAATTTTTAATCATTCCCGGGTTTTGATTGGCTTAGAAATTCAAATTTGCAATATTCGCGGCTCTTGATTGGCTTCAAATTTTGAATATTCCGGGCTCTTGATTGCTTTAGAAATTCAAATTTTATATATTCTCGGGTCTTGATTCGCTTCCAAAGTCAATTTTTAAATTTTCCCGGCTCTTGATTGGGTTCAAATTTTTTTTTTTTTTTATTCCTGGCTCTTGAATGGCTTTGAAATTTAAATTTTGAATATCTCCGGTTCTTGATTGGCTTCCAAAATCAATTTTTAAATTTTCCCGACTCTTGATTGGGTTTAAGATTCAAATTTGGAATATTCTCGGCACATGATTGGTTTAGAAATAGAATCAAAAGCTGGGAATATTTGAAATTTGAATTTCTAAACCAATCATGAGTCGGGAATAATCAAAATTTGAATTTCAGGCCCAAATAAGAGTCAAAAATAATCAAAATTTGAATCCTAAACCTAATCAAGAGCCGGAAAAATTTGAAAAACGAAGTCACTCAAGAGCCGCCAGGAATAATCAAAAATTCAATTTCTAAACCAATCATGAGCCGGGAATATTCAAAATTTGAAGCCAATCAAGAGCCGGGAATAATCAAAAATTGAATTATTCTCATCTTCTCTTATGTTGCGTTTCCAGTAATATATTTGACGCAAATAAATTCAATGTGCGCATGCTTAGAACTTATGTTACGTCTTTACGGTTACGTTACGTCCTCTAGAAAACATTTCATCCATCTAAAGATACTTGTTTATGTGATGTATGTATGGCCATGCTTAAAGCCCATTTTACAATGGACGTAACGTAACCGTAAAGACGTAACATAAGTCCTAAGCATGCGCACATTAGCTTTATTTGCGTCAAATGTCACTGGAAACGCAATGTAAGAGATGACCAACTCTCATCTTCTCTTACATTGCTTTTCCGGTAACATATTTGACGCAAATGTGCGCATGCTTAGGACTTATGCTACGTCAGGTTAAAAGGATTTTTAGGCGGTCAACGTAAGTCGATGAAAAAGTGGATGATATTACAATTTCTGACTTTATATAATAAGTTATTATTCAAGTACAAATAAATGTATTATTGCGGAACTTATGGGTGGACCTCTGTGGGAGGAGCGGAGCGAGTTCCACAGCCATCTACTCACCAATATACTGCGGAAATGTTCAAGTAAGATATTCACCTGAACCATGTAGTTTTTAAACTAATGAGAATAACTCACATTTGAGTGAGTCAAGTTAATATCGTAATTAAATAACATATTGATGAATAGATGGCTGCGGAACTCGCTGCGCTCGTCCCGCAGAGGTCCACTCATGAGTTCCGCAACATTGTACTTGAATAACTTGTCACAATATATCACTAGTTTGGTAAAGTAACATTACTAATTCCTTTTGAAAAGCGAATTGACAAAAAGTGGATAATCTCACTAATTCAAAAACTTCTGTATTTGACACTTCTGTCAAAAATGTCAAATGAAAAAGTTAGCAGGGGGTGACATTTATAATAGATCACCCTGTACTTATGCAATAGTCTAGTTTTAAAAGATCCATGGGAACCAGGATCAACGAACACACACAATCGTCTTGTATCTGAAACTATATAAAAATTCACAAACATGCGGAGAACTTCAACAGAACAGAGGAAACACTAAAACTTAACCAAACCTTGAACCCGATTCTCAAAAACCCAAGAAAGATTTCATTGAGTACAGAGAAAGTCAGATTAGCCACGTGCTGCTGTCCCCGACTACAACCACTCACACATAAATACAACTTACAGTCGGGAACGCGTCAGTCTGCTACCAGAATCGGACATGGAAGCATCTTGCGAAACGTCAGGCAGGAAGAAGTTACAACTTTAGCCCGAATGAAAACACTTTATCAATAAACCAAGGGTACCTTTGAAGAGATTTGACTATTGAAAGCTTATTTTTGGGCGAAACCCTATAGAAAACTGTAGCATGAGGTACTGCTCCATCCAACTCGGGTTCCGTAAAAGAGTCCAACTGTTCACCAGAAAGGACGTTTGATGGTTGAGTTTGAAGACCAATAGACTGAGCTAAAAAAAAAACAATTTTCTAACTGGTAAACGTCAAACCAACAATAACTTATTACCAATAGCCACAGCAGTTTCCATTGCATCTCCAGTTACCATTTTAACTTGCACCCCAGATTCTGTAAGGAGATTTATAGCCTCTCGTACCATCGGTCTGGGTGGGTCGCATATGCCCACAATGCCCACATAAGTCAAATTTGTTAAACTATCGCCTCTAGCCATGGCGATCACCCTTAAGCCTTTTTTGGCGATTTCAACGCTTTCAGCGATAAAGTCTGCTTGTTTTTCCGGTGTTAAAGGTTGCCCAATACCATTCGCACTATAATTAGTGCATTTGGGCAAAATTTTCTCCAATGCCCCTTTGGTAAAGAAAACTTCCTCTTTGCCATCATACTTAGACACACACTTGACAGTCATCATTTTTTCCTCAGATGAAAACGGATACTCTTTGAGTCTTATGTATCTGTCTGCAACATTGTACATTCCATGTTTCATTGCAGCGGCCAAAAGGGCCCCTTCTGTGGGTTGTCCCATCAATGTTTCATCAGTTATAGTAGCGTTATTGGCAACTGCTCCAACTTCTAATAGTTTCGCTACACTGTCTCTAGCCTTTTCAGGTTGATCGCACTTGTGCAACAAAACTTGACCGTGATCGTTGTATCCTGCCCCAGTAAGTTCAGCTATGTACCCGTCCGAAGTAACCAGAACCGTAGCCGTCATTTCATTTCTAGTGATGGTACCGGTTTTGTCGCTACAAATAACGTTGACGCACCCCAAAGTTTCAACAGTGGGCAACTTTTTTACTATTGCTTTTCTTTTAGCCATCCGCATCACGCCCAAGGCCAACGTCACAGTGACAACGATTGGTAAACCTAATTTGTATTTGTATAAGTTAGTTGGTATAGTTAGAACCAACTAAGAAGAACCCCTGACGTCATCACTGACTCCAATTTGAAGTGAGACAAAAGATCACACGGTGGCTTCTTCTTAGTTGGTTTTATCCATAGGAGGATCAATATACCTTCTGGGATTGCAGCTACAGCTAAACTGACTCCAATCTGGAACATTTCCAGTAGGAGTTTGCCTTGCCACCAGCCAATAAGTAAAATTACAGCGATAATAGCGAAAGAGTAGAGGGATAATTGGGCCCCCAGCGAGTCCATGGACTTTTGTAAGGGCGTTTTGGGCGCTTTTTCTTCTTGCATCATTTTGAATACTGAACCGAATTCGCTGTTTGTGCCCGTACTCACCACTATACCCTACATAGATTGTTAGATTTAAATTATAAATCATAAATGATGCCTCAAATAGTTCCAAGTCTTATGGAGGTTTGTTGGATCCCCTGCCAGATTTAGAACGATTTGAAGTTTTTAAAAATAATGACACAAGAAATTGGAGAATACAATCACTGTAAGATTTCGTACCTTGCCGTTGCCCGCCCGCACCAGAGTGCCCATAAAAGCTATGTTGGTGTTGGACGCGTGAGCCCCATTAGGTCTCAGAACAGAATCGGTATTTTTTCTAGTAAACAAAAATATCAATTAAAAATTCAAAGGCAACAATTATTGGTACCTTGAAGGCTCAGTTTCTCCAGTGAAACTGCTTTCATCTATAAGCAAATCGTTTGTCTCAAATAACCGCAAATCTGCCGGTACTCTGTCGCCTACATTGAGTATTACTATATCGCCTGGTACCAACTCTCGAGCCAAAAAAGTATCAGGAGTACCTTCACGTAAGCTGAAACAAATTTCAGTCAAACAAAAAGACTCAAGACACAAGAGTACTACTACCAATGACAAGCAGGTGGTACCAGCTTGGTCAGCTCCTGCAAACTTTGTTCAGACCGGTACTCTTGCACGAAGGCAACAGTTACAACGATAATGATGGCGCAAGTGATGCTGATAGCGTCGTCTAGTTGTTGCATGGCCCCCGAAACTACTGCGGAAGCCAGCAGCAGCAAGATCAAGGGATTTTTGAATTGTTCCAAGTACTTTTGCCATGGCGGGTCTTCGACTGTCACCGAAAACTCGTTGTAGCTGAAAGGATGCACGGTTTAATTTGATTTTTTTGACCGTGAATAATTATTAATTAAAAATAATTTATTTGATATTTTTAATGAAAATAATTGAAGGCACGAGTAATTTTTTTAGATTAATCGATTACTTACCCGGATGCCACGCGTCTTTTTGTGGCTTCCGGCCATGCCAGGCCGACTTTGACGTCGACTTCTAGCCTTTGGGACACTTCTTCGTGAGCCAAACTGCTGGCTTCGCTGGCTGCCAGCCAATTGATGGTTGTGCCATCGTCCTAGAAAAAAATTTCGCCAATAGAAATTAGGCACTAAATTATTCTATCTATCTATGAGAAAAGGCACTCAGAAAAATTGATAAATCATCTCAAATTGCTTAACACGATTTTATCTCAGGAACTATACTTAAGTGCAAATGAGCTGAAATTTTCAGGGATTGTAGTCCCTTGATTGGGATAAATTTCAGTGAAAGTTTCATCTTTCTATCTATAACAGAAAAAAGTTATGACCTGTCAAAGTTTTCCAAAATCTAAAGCATAAGGTAGCTTCTTACTAAAACAATGAAATGAAATTTCAAAATTTTTCTTGCTGAGATTTTGTGTCCTTATGACCCCTCATGATACCCTGAACTCCATAAACTAAATTATACCAAGATTTGAAGCCGAAATCCATGAAAAAAGGCACTCAGAAAAATTGAAAAATTGATAAATCACCCCAAATTGCTTAACATGGTTTTATCTCAGAAACTATAAATGCAAATGGGCTGAAATTTTCAGGGATTATAGTCCCTTCAGTGAGATGAGATTCAGTGAAAATTTCATCCTTCTATCTATAATAGAAAAAAAGTTATGACCTTTCAAAGTTTTCCAACATCTTAATCATAAAGTAGCTACCTTGTTACTAAAGTGATGAAATTTCATAATTTTTCTTGTTGAGATTTTGTGTCCTAATAGTCCCTCGTGATACTCTGAACTTCAAAACCTAAATTACTCCCAGATTTGGAGCCGAAATCTATGAAAACAGGCACTCAGAAATATTGAAAAATTGATAAATCACCCCAAGTTGCTTAACCCGATTTTATCTCAGGAATTATAAGTGCGAATGAGCTGAAATTTTCAGGGATTAATTAGTCCTTTTAGTGGGATGATTCAGTGAAAATTTCAGCTTTCTATCTATAATAGAAAAAAAGTTATGGGTCTTCAAAGTTTTTGACAATACAAATCTTAAGGTGGCTATACCTTAGTACTAAAATGAAGAAATTTCAAATTTTTTTATGTTGAAATTTGCCTTCTTTTTCCAACAACTAGAAAAAGTGTAGCAACGCAATCGTTAAGGGTAGTTTTTAGTAGGTTTAAAGCAAGATTTCAATAAACTTATGTAGCAACATTACAAAAAAGGTGTCGAAAGTGTAGCAACAAGTCGTTTTGGGGGTAGTTTTTTTAGTGGGCTTTTGAGGTGAGGCCTCGTTGAATTCTTGTAGCAACATGAAAAAAAAAATTGTGTTAAATTCTTAGTTCTGTCTGGCTTCTAGACTCATAGAAATCTGTGACACAAATTAGAGTCTTCTTGACAATTTTTAACGTTCATTGACAACTCTATCATAATGACATTTTTAATAATAAAGGTGCATTTACATTCACTTCAAAGTCCAATTTGTCTTGAAATTGACGTGCTTGCCATGTGGCGACAGCACAGATCCATTTACATTGAAATAAATTTAAAGTTCACTTCGAAATGCACTTTAAATTTGGGCAAGATGCTTGCCGAGGGCAAGCAGAAATTTATGAAATGTCAAATTTTTAGATTAAGGAGCATTTACATTCACTTCCAACTTCAAGTTAAATTTGACATTTGATATTTTATCATTTACATTGCAGATCAAAAACGTCAAGCCAAAACGTCAGAATTTAATGTGAATCATGATGAATAATCTAAAAATTTGACACTTCACAAATTTCTCGGCAAGCAGCTCGCCTAAATTAGAAGTGCACTTCGAAGTGAACTTCAAATTTATTTCAATGTACCATCGTCACCAAAAGTATCTGGGACAAAAATAATTCATATTAATCTCCTGGACTAAGTCTACTGTCGTTCATTTCAATGCATTTAATTCATAATTTGACAAATATTTGACACTTAAAATCATATAATAGTACAAAAGCTAACATGATGCTGTCCCAGTTACTTTTGGTGACGATGGTACATGGATCTGTGCTGCCGCCATATGACAAGCACGTCAATTTGAAGACAAATTGGACTTTGAAGTGAATGTAAATGCACCTTTATTGATCATGATTCTTATAAAATTCTGACGTTTTGACTTGACGTTTTTGTTCTGCAATGTAAATGATAAAATATCAAACGTCAAATTTAAGTTGAAGTTGAAAGTGAATGTAAATGCTCCTTAATTGATGACAAAAACAAAAGGTTGAACCAGAAAATAAGGCTGTGTTCAATAACTTAAACAGAAGCGTAGCAGCATTCAATTTTTTGAGAGTTTTACGAATTTCTGTAGCAACAGATGGTAGAAATAAGTGTAGCAACTTGAAAAGAAAAAGGGAAGTAGGTAACACTCAATTTATGGTGTGGGTTTTGTAGGACAAGATTTTGATGTTTTTTTGTAGCAACATGTTGTACCAACAGTTGGGAGACGGTTGGATTAGCAAATTGATTTTTTTAATTTTCCAATTCCTTTTGATTGGCTTGGAAATTCAATTTTTTAATATTCCCCCGGCTCTTGATTGGGTTTGAAATTAAAATTGAATTTTTGAATATTTCCGGCTCTTGGTTGGCTTAGAAATCGAATTTGTTAATTTTCCCAGCATTTCATTGGTTTGAAAATTGATTTTTGATTAATCCCGGCTCTTGATTGGCTTAAAAATTCAAAGTTTGAATTTTCCCGGCTCTTGATTAACTTCTTAAGTCAAATCATTTGTTGGAAATTCTCGGCTCTTGATTGGTTTTAAAGTTCAAATTTTTGATTATTCCTGGCTCTTGATTGGTTGAAAAATTGAATCTTTTAATTTTCCTGGCTTTTATTTGGTTTGGTAATTGAATTTTTGATTATTCCCGGCTCTTGATTGGGTTTAAAATTCAATTTTTAAATATTTTTTGAAAATTGCTTAACACGATTTTATCTCAGGAACTATTAGTGCAAATGGGCTGAAATTTTCAGAGATTTTAGTCCCTTCAGTGAGATGAGATTCAGTGAAAATTTCAGCTTTCTATCTATAAAAGAAAAAAAGTAATGACCTGTTAAAGTTTTCCAAAATCTAAATCATAAGGTAGCTACCTTCTTACTAAAACGATGAAATTTCAAATTTTTTTTTGTTGAGATTTTGTGTCCCAATGGTCAATTGGGATCCCACAAATTCCATACACTAAATTATTCTCAGATTTGAAGCCGAAATCTATGAAAAAAGGCACTCAGAAAAATTGAAAAATTGATAAATCACCCCAAATTGATTAACATGATTTTATCTCAGAAACTATAAATGCAAATGGGCTGAAATTTTCAGGGATTATAGTCCCTTCAGTGAGATGAGATTCAGTGAAAATTTCAGCCTTCTATCTATAATAGAAAAAAAGTAATGACCTGTCAAAGTTTTCCAAAATCTAAATCATAAGGTTAAGGTTAAGGTAACCTTCTTATTAAAATGATGAAATTTTAAATTTTTTCTTGTTGAGATTTTGTGTCCCAATGGTCAATTAACATCCCCCAAACTCCATACACTAAATTATTCTCAGATTTGAAGCCGAAATCCATGAAAAAAGGCACTCAGAAAAATTGAAAAATTGATAAATCACCCCAAATTGCTTAACATGATTTTATCTCAGAAACTATAAATGCAAATGGGCTGAAATTTTCAGGGATTATAGTCCCTTCAGTGAGATGAGATTCAGTGAAAATTTCAGCCTTCTATCTATAATAGAAAAAAAGTAATGACCTGTCAAAGTTTTCCAAAATCTAAATCATAAGGTAGCTACCTTCTTATTAAAATGATGAAATTTCAAAATTTTTGTTGTTGAGATTTTGTGTCCTAATGGTCCCTCGTGATACCTTGAACTCCATACACTAAATCTATGAGAAAAGGCACTCAGAAAAATTGAAAAATGATAAATTTTCCCCAAGTTGCTTTTATTTCTGAAACAACAATATTTACATTTATTATTATTATTAAAATGTCGTGTAAAAAACTCATGATTGTTATATAGCATTCAAATTATGGGAAAAATGCAAATTTTTCACAATTATTCCAACATATAAAGAGACTATAGGTACTAAATAAGCAAATAAAATATGTACTGGGTACCGAAATCCGCATCCAGGCAGGAAGCAGCGGTTCTGGTAATTACATATTTAATCAATTTAATTTAATTTATACAAAGGAGTGTAGTAGGACCGAATCTGTTTTAAGTGGGCCACAAGTAAATATATACAATGCAAAAATATACATAAACGATATGAAAAAAAGATGTACCTTTTATGTAAATTACATAGATAAAGAAAAGAAACATTGTCATGCATGTTGTAACAGGTCAAAAAAAAAATTGATTGCGATAATTACAACCGAATTTTAACTTTTAATTATTCAATGATTCAAGAAAAAAGTAATTGAGCAATTCGCTCTTAAGTATTTTTCATAAGCTCCTAAACGTGATTCAACAGATATCTACTTTGTAATCTAATTCTTGGAAGATTGTGTTCAGTTTTTAGGTAAAACTACTGAATCAGCTCTATATTAATATAATAAAGCATTGAATTATCTTTCTATATTTACCCAAACACACATTGTAAATTAAAAATATTTTCCTCTTTTTTTAAATTCTCTTTACATGGGGCTTAAATGGGTAATTGCCTCAATGTTCTCATCAAAAAATGTCCTATAATCAACTTAAGTTTTCTCGTTAACCAGCCTGGAAGTTTTGACTTTGAAGCGTGATTCCTCAGAAACTCTTGAAGATATCGCATCAACATTAAAGATCATTCAATTCCCCTTTCCAACAAGCTATAATTTGACTCAATTGCTCAAAAATTAATAGAGTTATGACTGGTTATTTGAGCCAATGTTGGTACCTCAAAAGTTTTCAATAAACTTAAGTATTGCAGAGATAAGAAAAAAAAAACGCACAGGTCAGGTACCTACCGGTTTTTCTTCCTTTTTGGAAAAAGGCCAACACATTTTCCCGCACATGGTACCACTCTCCAAAAAAACTAAAAAACCATTCTAAAATCGGCACTAGACGAAAACTAATAATCGGTCGACGTCTGAATCAT